TGACTGACAAAGCCAGGCATCAAAGCATCGTTCCAGTGTCACATATTTCAACACTCTAATCTTTCAGAACTTGTAAAGCAATCTCTTACGGCGCTTTGTGGGCTGTGAGATCACCCTGACAAACTGTGATAATGTTGGCAATCTCCGAATGGGTGTTCATTTGCAATCTTACTACAGAGGAATTGCTACATTTCCAAATTTGAGGGCTTGACATAATCTGTCTCCACAAAGCTATCAGGGTCTGTCATAAGGCTGTCTGTGACCCAGGGATTTTATGGGGTTAATATCATCCTAAGCAGTGGAATTGCCTGGAGTATGACTTTATCTATCTGCTTGCTTTCTCTTTATTTAAAACACCCCTTATTTGTATCATTATTTTTTCAAGTGCAAACAGCACCTAGTAATAACATTTGAGCCAGGTAGAGGAGATGGCTCCTCCAAATCATGACCAGTTTCTTACAGTTCATGCCAAACCCTCTGTTCCCCTCATCGCACTTAGCGACTGAGAAACAATGCAAATGTCAGGTCAACCTACAAAGCTATTGCCATCATCTCTTCCCTTCCGTATGCTCCCAGTACTGGCAGTCTCTGGGCTGCAGTCCACAGGATATCCACAATTATGGCCCAGATTGAGGGAGGGGTAGAAAAACGATGGCACTCTGCCAAGTATGTCAGAACCTGAACTTGATCCATTTTAAAATTGAAGCTGGGGACTGTGGGACAGTGCCGTGTTCTCTGTAATCCATATAAAGAAAGCAAAATAACTTATCATCTCAAAAAAAAAAAAAGAAAAAAAAAGTCAGAGTTAGTGCAGACCTAACATAAATAACTATTTTATATTTGTCTCTGAACCTTATCTTTAACTAAAGAAATATGTTGTCTTGACGCAGAAGGAAGATTTTTAAAATGCCATAAGACTGTTAAGCACCTCAAGGAAAAGTGAGACAGAGAGAGAGTCAGGCTTCATCATATTTATGAGGGCCACAAAACTGCTAGTAGAGTCATTTAATTTTGAAATTACTTAGGACTCCTTCAGAAAAGCCGGGAACACAGGATGGAAATAGAAAACTAAAAAAAGTGCATCCAGTGTTTCAAAATAAGTTCCCTGCACAACACCCTTTCCCTGCTACCATCCCCTTAGGCAAATTTACCAGCTCGGCAGTCCCTCAGAGTTAACAAAAGATCCTCCCCAAATCCTGCTCAGGGTGTGGGTGAGCCGCTGGGACCTGGCCACGGTCGGGTCAAAATCCTGTGCCAGAGCACAGGCACTCCACGTCAGCGCAGCACTCGAGCACAGGCTAAACTTTAAGCACCGGCTTGGATATTCTGCTGAACTAAGGCTGGGATGATTTGCTATATTTAGTACGTTTTCACAAAAGAAGTTCCCTTCCTTGGATTATTCCATCTCATCAAAACAAAAATCTTTAAAGATGCACCGTACTTTGCTTTATCCCCACATAAGCTATTTACTGCATTTCATTCTCTGTGGAAAAGGAAATTCAGTGCCACTATCCGACCTCAGGACTACCTAGCTGCAATGCCACTGGAAAATTTTTGAATCCAAATAAATTCCAAACTCCTATTTTGGCCCAAAATTACAGAAAACTCACTCCTGCTCTTGTTAGTAAAATACCTACTGCTTTTACCAGTAGCAGCAATTACCCCTCGTGTCTCTTCAGTCCTTCAGAAAAGCATGTGCAGCCTTGGAAGCCCAAGATGTGTTTTAATGTGTGCATTATCTTACTGAAGTCAGTAGGCTGCGTGGATATTTAAAAAAAAAAAAAAAAAAAAAAGGCTACACGAAAAAACAGTTTAAAGATCTGTGGGCTTCAAAAGGTTAAACAGCTTCACTAATACAAACACTGCAGATGGGACAGTCCTGAACACAGCAATGAAACCTGTATGAGCTTTTCCTTTTCTCAAGGGTTGATGTTTTTATTTTACAGTAAGCTAAGAACTGGTGAGTAGACTTGCGTACTCGATATTATTTGACTCTTTTATACATACATTTATTTTTAAAGAAAAAGTCAAAGAAAAGAGCCCTACCTCTCAGCTAGTGCCACTTCAGAAGCGTTTTGCTAACCACAGCTGAATTATTATAATTTCTCTCCTTTTTAATTTATATTTTTTAGTGTTTTTAATACTGACAGTAAGCCACTATGCACCCAAAATTTTCTAAAAAATAAAGAAAAACAAACTATTACGGGTAGATCACTGTTTATAGAGGGAAAGAAGACAGAAACATATTAAATTTACCATAAACAAGGAGTTTCATACCATGACAGCAACTTTTAATGTACTTCATTTGTCATATAAATTACGTCCTTGGGGATCTCCCATAAAATTAATTAGGTCAGAGAGAAGGAAAACAAATCAGAAACTTCTCAAAAAACTCCAGCAAGGAGTTTTAAACACAGCAGTAGCCACAATCTCACTGTAAAGTTCTCCCCTCCTCTTCTATTTTTTTTTCTAGGTGAGCAAGATCATCATCAGATTGAGAATCATCTTGGCCCAGCACGATCAAGGAAATCATATAGGTTCAAGTACACAACATTTCTGAAATTGAAAATTTTGCAAGCAGCTCTGTCCTTCCAAACTACAAAGTCCCTGGAAGAATTCTGAAACATAATTTAGTAAAGACATTCATTGTGTCTATGTGGCTCTTAAGCACAAAGCTACAATTGCAAAATCTGGGCATGATGCATTCATCACACAACACTGTAAAGCAAAGAGGAAGGAGGAAGGCAGAGGAAAACAGTAAGAATTTTGGAGAAATTTTAATACTGGCCAAACTCATCCTCAAATCAAAACTCTGAAGCTTTTCCCATGCATTAGCTTCTCCAGAGTTTAGGCAAAAAAGGAATTTGCTTGTGTACTTTTCCTGTACCACTCTGGCTTTGTTTCGTGCAAGAAAAAAGATGTAGCTTTTTTCACTCTTCTCAACACAGCTCACTGAATTGGAAGTGGTGGTACACATGCATAAAATCCAACACACTTTCGGATCCCACTTGGAACAGATCAAATTTTACTCTTCTTGATACCTGTGCCACCTTCCAGCGTAGACTTGAGTAACAAGGGCAGAACAGGACAACGACAAAATGCTGGGGAGTAATTGAGTTGACGGCGCTTGATCATTAACAACATTAACAGACTGCACTAATGAATAACTCCGCAGTACAAATTTCATCTGGATCATGTGAGGGCATGAGCTCACATTTCTGCCAGCCCTTATATGTGTTAATGTTAGCAGCGGGGAACAAAAGATATCAGAGAAGGCATGAAGCTTGCTGGTAAAAGTCAACACATCAAAATATATTTTAAAAACTGCATCAGAAAAATGAATTTATAATGGATCTGTGCTTTGCGTTTTGAGGTGACAGAGTTCTCGATCTGGTAGAAAGTTCCCAAAGCTCAATTTACTACATTGTCAAAATATAGCCTGAGGGGACAATCTGACTTACAGCATCTTTATGACTGGTGATGAAAGAACCTCGCTTGGCTTTTAGATCCCAAGTTTGGCTCAAGATAGTGCAGTAGAGAACAGAACATCTTTTATTTTATGCTGGGAGTTCACAGTGTTCCTCTTCAGCACAGAATTAGGTTTTACTGTATAGAATTCTCACACACAGCTCGCTGATGGGTTAGAATTCACACCTCCAGATTTTGGGGATATACTTCACACCCTTCATTGTTACTGATACTAAAGATACAGATTACAGTGTCCTCATGTCATTGTAGCATCTGTAATGGAAATCTTTAGAAAAATCAGGAAAAAACTGTGTCTTTTACCAGGCCACAGCATGTCTTATTCAGCTATGGAAAGGCTTTAGAGTGCAGTAACCACATTAATTGGACATTATATGAACAGCCAAGTATAGCTCAGTTACTGTGCAGCTTTTACTGTTCCTTGTCATGTTGTTTCAAATCACATTTTGTGTTTTAACCAGTTGTATATACATATGAAAGCATTGCACAACGCTGGACAATGCTACGGATCCACAGGAAATAATTGTTTCACAAACATGAAGCAATCTGCACAAATATAAATAGCGTGGCCCAAATCTGTTCTAAATTATGCTTATGCAAATCCATGGAAGTCAACTAGTACCACTGACAGAAGAGCACAGATAAGAGCCCGCAGAAGTATAAAATATGGCTCTATTGTACAGCTATCCACAGGCCAAAGCCTGCCAGCCTGCCATCACTTACATTCTCCTACTTTCCCAGCATGGTTTTACAGGAAATAAGAAAAACAAGAGTATCTGGGATTTCTAGTTCTCTCATGCGCTGGAGGACACATGTCCAAGAACATATGGACTTAAATGTGTCAGCATCCGACATCACTCTTATTTCAAGAACGTTATTAATTTTTGTGGGTGGAGTCCAAAATTTTAATGCCGTATTAGCACAGAGTGGCTGTTTCTGTAGTGCAGATGTCACGGGGAACATATGTGTGGCAGTCCAAGGATAGCATTTTAACTCGATTTCAAGTGATTTCCTGAATTGTAATACTCTCAAAAGAATGACTGTTGATGCTACTAGCAGGGTATTTCACAATTTTTGTCTTCACAGTTTCATCCAGGCAACTCAGTTGTGACCTCCAGGATATTATGCTATTGCAGGTCTGGACATTCCACACACAACGGTTTCAACAAATCTCATTTAGCTCTACAATGCACAGCGTGTGACTTCAGAATTGCTGTTTTCAATGCTGAGAACCAAGTTATACGAGTGATGTATGCTACTCCAGGCAAAAAGCAAGACTAAGATCAGAAAACTCTTTGCCCCAATCCAAATCTTCTCAAACAAATTAGCCTCTTTACCAAACTCGCAGGTGCAGACAAATACTGTGGGTATGAGCCATGCAACCACTCCAACTGGATACAGTGAGAAACGTATTGCCAAGGGCTTTTCGGCTGTGAATCAACAGGTGGTTTGGCACCGAGATTGCTACCTGTTTGTGGTTTTCATCTTTGGTTTCAAGACAGAAAACAAGATACCTTTCAAAGCTGCATTTCAAGCTGGCTCTATGGAGAACAAGGTTTCATTCCAACCAAATCTCTCTCTCTCTTGCAAAGTTGAGGAAAACTGCCAACCGCTGCTGCTCTTGCCATCAACACGCAACATAGATGTTAGGAAAAGGCAAAGTAAAGGGAGAGAAGAAAAAGGAAAAGAAAAATATAAGTTTTATATAAACAACAAACTGTACATAATGACTACATCTGAGGACAACAAAATAAAAAAGTACTGGCTTTAGTATAAAGAAACAAATAAACAAAACCTTGGAACAGCTAAATCTAAGAGGTTTTTTTGGATACAGAGGATTTTTGGTTAAATTTTGTTCCAAGAGATACAATACTTTGAAAACATATGATAAACTTAAAGGGACAACATTAAAGAAACAACCCCCTCAGAGCATCAAAATGAATTACACCTTTACTCAGAGAGCAGCCTAAGCCCCTTCAACAAACACCCTGCACAGCACCCAAAGCACTTACAACATATGTTCTTGCCTGTAAATAGCCCAGGGTACAAGAGGTGGGGTTCATGGTTTTTTGTTTTTAAAGATTTCTGCATGGCCCTAACTCTGCCTTTGTTGAAGGTAGTGTTAACACACATTGAATGCAGTGGGAACCAAATATGGATAACTGCATACTTTGAAAAATCACACCCAATATGTTCAACTGATGCCATCATTCTCTGAGGACAAGTGCAGGCTATGGAATACTACAAATAATAGAGCAGTAGTCTAAAGTAAGTTTCTCAGAACCATGGAAGCATATTTCGATACTTTTTTCACACATAATTGGGAATGTGCATCTTGAAAATAGTAGTCAAGTGTAGGTAAAGACTGTCTAGAGATCCTTACTGTGACAGAAGTCTCAATGCCTTCTCATAAAGTAAGAGTTCTTCAAATCAATTCTCAGCAACCATTAAGAGCACAGCCAGTGAAACTACACTTTTTGGATTAAAGTAAGAAAATGAAAGTCAGTGCCTCTCCACAGACGTAGACGTAATGAGAACGACTTCAATACATCTGCTAGGAATCAAAATGGGTCCACGTTCACCAGTGTCTAGAAAAATGGAATCCTAATGCTTAGTGAGAAACTTAGTTTTGCCCCAGTAACTATAAAACCATTTCTAAACCATGTACTAATTTACCTGCAGAAGACAAGAACTGCATGATTAAATTCTATTAAACCATCTATACTAATAAAGATTGAACTGAAGAGAAAATACACCTGCCTTATCGTGAAGGTATAATCATCTGGGGGGAAAAGGGCTCCCAAAATGTTGGAATAAAAAAAAACCAGCCAAGTGGGTCTTTTTTCCCCAGGAGAAGATGTTTCCACAAAAATTAATAACGTTCTTGAAATAAGAGTGATGTCGGATGCTGACACATTTAAGTCCATATGTTCTTGGACATGTGTCCTCCAGCGCATGAGATAACTAGAAATCCCAGATACTCTTGTTTTTCTTATTTCCTGTAAAACCATGCTGGGAAAGTAGGAGAATGTAAGTGATGGCAGGCTGGCAGGCTTTGGCCTGTGGATAGCTGTACAATAGAGCCATATTTTATACTTCTGCGGGCTCTTATCTGTGCTCTTCTGTCAGTGGTACTAGTTGACTTCCATGGATTTGCATAAGCATAATTTAGAACAGATTTGGGCCACGCTATTTATATTTGTGCAGATTGCTTCATGTTTGTGAAACAATTATTTCCTGTGGATCCGTAGCATTGTCCAGCGTTGTGCAATGCTTTCATATGTATATACAACTGGTTAAAACACAAAATGTGATTTGAAACAACATGACAAGGAACAGTAAAAGCTGCACAGTAACTGAGCTATACTTGGC